CGGCGGCGGGGGGGGCGGGAGCCGCGCCCCGCTCCGGGCCCCGCTCCGGGGCCGCGCCCCGCGCCCCGCGCGCCCGCCGGGACCTACGGCTGCCGCCAGCGCCCGCGACGGCGACTCGGAACCGCATTGTTCGGCCGCCGGAAGCGCTCCCGCGCCCTCCGCCCCGCACCCGGAAGCGCCTCGCGGGGCGCCCGCCCCTCCGCCCGGTCACGTGGTGGGCGGCAGCGGCGGCCCAGGCCCGGCACCGGGAGGCGGCGGCGGCCGGGGTAGGTGGGGTCGCGCTGCCGGCCGGGGCTCCCGCGCCCCGCGCCCCCTCCCTCGGGCCGCCCCCCGCCGCCGGCCCTCGCTCCCTTCCCGGTACCGGTCCGCGCGCGGTGCCGCCCCGCCGTTCCTCGCCACCCGCCGGTGGGAGAGCGGCGGAGGCCTCCCGCGGTCCGCCCTTTCCTCCGTCTCTGCCGCCGCGGTGTTTCCGGGCCCCTGCGTGCGCTGGCCGCGCCGTGCCCGGGGCGGAGTCCTCCCGCCGGGCGCTGCCCTCAGCCGGGCCCGGGGCGGAGGAGGCCGCGTCGCTCCCCGCGACCCGCGGTGTTCCGGGGCCGCCCCGCGCGTCCGCTGCCCCCGATCCGCGGCCTCTGGCGGTTCCCGGGCGGGTCCCGATCCGCGGCGCTCTGTCGTCTCCACAGCTCCTTTCCGCCCCGCGTGCCGCAGCGGTGGCGGTTCGGTCGGGTTTTCCCTTCTTGTTGGCAAGTACGTGCCGGAGCCCGGCGGGTCGGTGCCAAGGGCCGCGTCGGGTTGGGGCGAGACGAAGTGTAAATAAACGCACCGCATGCGGTCGGGTTAAAAATCCGTATGGGCAGCGATGAAGCGAGAGTGGAACCGGTGAAAATAACATTTGTGGGCTTCCTCTGCTCGGGTTGTTTGTGGGGAGGAGGAGAGGAAGACAGGAGCGAAGTTTGGGAGAGAAAGGAGAAATTGCATTTATTGCTAAAACACAAACTGGGAACCGAGTAATGCATGGCTGTGCTGCTACGTGCGGCAGGGGCTGTGCTCCCAAACCCCTTCTCCTGCAGGGGTTTGTTAAATGGCGATGCGATTGGTGACATTCTTGTCTACTTTGTTTGAAAAAGAATGCCTGACAGCAGTGGGCACATCAGAAACGCTGTGGTTTTACTTTTAAAGGCTGCTACTGAGCATAGAAAGGTCAAGGACCTGAGCGGACTTCATTCTTAGTACACAGAAAGCACATTAACAAATTGAGCCTGGCGTAGGGCTTTCCTTCTCTTTCCAACTCCAAGGGCGGGCAGCTTCTAGCAGCATGTATCGCATGGAACTCGTTTTTTTTTTAGCTCTCACAGCATGTTCTTAAAGTGCAATGTGTGTCTGGTGAGTGGAGCACTGCGTTCACATCAGTCGTGATGAGAGAGATGCAGAGGGACGCGGAGCGTTGTCTCCTGGCTGGGTGCCCCTGCCCCATGCTGTCCTGCACGTGGCTGTGCCCGGTGCACAACCAGCAGGGTGTGCATGGGGCACTACTGGGCAGCTCCCCCACACTGCTGTGGGCTGGGCTGCCTGAGGCAGCAGCTGTGTTTCTTCTCTGCGCTGCGGTTTTCCAGGGCCTGCGCTTTGCTTCTGGGACTGGAGGACCCACTTGGTACGAGAGCCTAAAGTTAGAATTCTCTCATCTGAGTTCAAATTAAGGTTAAAACCAAGACTACAACTCTGCTAAGGAGTGTTAACAAAGATTGCATTAGCTGAACTCCTGTATGTTGTCTGATTCCTGGTTTTGCATGAAATAGGCAATGATTCCGGCAGCCCCTGCCATCTGTGCTTCAATGTGCCCACGGACAGTGGGGCTGTGTGCTGAGGCAGTGCTACCTCCTGGTAGTGTCTGTCTCTTGAGCTTGGTGGGAACCTCTGTGGCTGTCGGAGGCTTTTAAAATGCTCAGCAAATTTAGCATTGTAGTTGCTATTTGTATAGAATTTGCTCTCCTTGGTCAACCAAAATCTTTATTTTCACATGCAGTATTCCAGTGGTTTTATTGCTTCATTGTGAGTGTAAAATGTTTCTCATTGCCTTTGAGAATGTTTTGCACGGGGAAGGCAAGGCTGCAGTTGTTTCCTTGAAGGAGTGGTGGGTGAAGATCAAACATAGGGTTATGAGGCTGAGCATGTGATACGTGAGAAGAAGGCTGCTGGTGATTGATCTTCCTTGCATGTTTTTTTCCCACAGCTGCAATGGAATACTGCTGCAGGTATATGCTCGGAAGAATTCAAACCACAGCTCCTTTTCCATGTTTCTCAGTGTGACACCAGTTTTGTTCTAACAATTTCTTGCTCTGCTCAGACAGAAAATCTGGGCAGCTGCCTGTCAGACAGCACTGTGCTTTAGCACTTACCAGGCTTTTTTTCAGGACTCGTGCATTTATAAAGCAGTAAATGTGCATTATTTGAAAGTAAGGGGGAAAAATGTCACAGGTGTCAAAGCCCATAAAGAGCCAGGGATCCTAAAGAATGGTGCCTTATTTGTCATAAACCAGCTTTGGGTAGTCCTTCATAAAGCTTCTGAACCCGCTACAAATTCCACCTTTCACCCTGACTGAATCCAGGAAGGAGAACTTCTGCTTACATTGGGCTGTGGTTGTTGTTGTTGAGTTCTGTTACAGCAGAGAAATAGAAGCAGAAATGATGTTACTTTCAGTGATGAATTTATATGGAGTCAGTCCCCTCAGTGTCCCAGCTGTGTGCTACCTCCTGTATTTCATGATTTTCAACACTGTATGCAGTGGATTTTTATTATTTTTAGGGGTAGTGGATATAGGTTTGCTCTGCATGCCAAGCTTTTTAATTTTGTTGTTTAAGGTAATTTTGTTTTCAATAATTTAAGTCACGTTACCGTATCATTCCTCTGTACCTGGTGCATCCCTCAGCCACGCTGTGCTTTGTGCAATTGCTGTAGGAATTGCTTCAGAAATGTAAAAGCTGAAAGGGTTCTGGATGAGAACAGATCACCTTTTCTCTCTAGTTTTGCACAGTTAGGCTTATTCTTTCTTCTGCCCTGAATACTCCAGGCTTTTTGTTTGTTGGTTGGTTGTTTTTTAATTGAATTCACCTCTAAATTCAGTGCTACTTCTGGTGCTGATGTGAGGGTAACTGCTGTTCTAAGCAGCTGGAGGAGTTCACAGCTGAAACCTTGTTTTCTTTTGCTTTCCTTCTTGCACGTTGTGCTACTGTGGCCATTCTAAATACTGCAAACCAGACCGTCTTTGGAAGTGGAGTGAAAAGCAGCCCTGATCGTGTGCGATTTGCTTCCCTGATTGCAATGTCACAAGGTTTCATTGGGCCTCGCTCTTTCTCAGCAATACAAAATGGAAGATTTTATCTTTTATATTCTATTTGCTTTAATCTCTTTTAAATTTATTCTGACTGTTCTTACGAGGAAAGTTTTGCTTGTGAGTGGCAGATGAGGTGCCAAATTCTTGGGAAAGGGTAGGAAGGTAAAGGACCTGGTTTAGTGACATGGTAGGGAGGGTTGGTAGTTGGTGACCTGGGAGGTCTTTTCCAACCTTAATGATTCTGTGATTCTAAAGGACAAGTGTTTAATAAATCTGTAGAACCATTCTTGAACTTTGGTGGGTTTGTCTTCCGGTTACGTGAGATCTTAGCACGGCGCGTGGTGTCTTTGGTCTTAGATTGACATTTTCTTCAATAGCCACAGTAAGGAGGCTGCTACAGGTGGGTGCTTGCTTAAGAGATAAACAAGAATACTTTTAAAATACAGTTTGGTTCTTGGATTTGCAGTGTGTAACAACTGCAAGCATAGAGTGAAGGAGAATCCTACTGAGAATTAGAAATTTAAACAAAACTGAAAGCAGTGACCCAAGCACCAGCCATGTTCATTTACAGCTTTTTCCAATGGTCTGTTCTGAGGGGAGAGGCCAGGAGATCTATTTAATTAGATAAGCAGAGAAGTTAATAAAAGTTTGCCTCTCAGTATGCATTGTGCCCCAGCATCTGTTCCCGTGGAGGTGTAAAGGCACCTTCAGGCAAATGCGTTACTGAGTTGTAGTTGTGCGTCGGGGACAAAACATGTGAAAACTCATATTTTATTTGCATTGAAACAAAATGGTCTCTTGCAAGGGCTGAGATGTTGGCTTCTTCAGAGAAACCTTAAAACTCGAGGTCAGCTCTTGGCTGGGTTCTTTCTCCCGATTCCCCATGCTGTAAGAACAGACACTTTGGTCCTTGGGACGGCTGCGGGCGGTGCTGTGCTGAGCTGCCCTGCTGCTGCCGTTCTCTCTTTTTGATTTCAGAGGAGCCATGAGCCTGCTGCACGTCAATGCTCTGCTGGGCTTTGATGTTCATCCTTCTGCACCAGCATGTGCTTTAACGAGCTCAGAGCTTTCTGCAGTGGGTTTTGCCATTGTGAGTTTTCAATTCAGGTAAAGCGATCTGTGAGGCAATCTGCTCAAAAGAGTGATATGAAGCAGTAGGGGAAATAAAGTGCATGGGGAGCAGAGTGAGGGAATATGGAAATTCTCGCTGACTTCAGAAGACATTTTAGTGTTTTTAGTATTTTATGGCGGCGCTTTTGCAACTGAACCATTTGGGCGTTAATCCCAACTTCTGTTGCTGGTTCCAGAGGTATTGGGCAATGTGGTGCATCACTAACAAACAAAAGCTTCTTGCAGTAGTCTCCCCTTTCCTGTGCTTTCTTAACTTGTGCAATATCAGTAAGAGTTCTGCGCAGCGTAAAGTTGGTAAAGTTGGGCTAATCAGGACCTTCTGCTGTTGCAATTCTGTGTTGAGAAACTGCTGCAGGGGTTGGGCTGAGCCAGTGGTGCCCCTGCACTGAGTGTGTGCTGTTTGCAGCACGCTGCCACCAGAAGGAGCGTACAAAAGCACAGCGTAATTTTCCTGGTTAATTGAAGTTAGTGCTGGTGAAAGGTGTTGGATTGAAAGAATTTGGAAATAAGTTAACACTTCAAGACAAGCAGTATGGCAAAATAAATTGCTGAATTGATCCTCACCTGGGTGGTCTTTGCAGCTAAGTGTGATCAAAAGCATCTCTCCTGCTTGTGCCGCCTTTGTGTGGCAGATGAGTTTGCACCGTTTGTATGAAAATAATGCTGCTGAGGGGATTTGCAAATGTTTGCAGCTTACTTATATTGTGTTTCAATATATTTGATGTCAGTTATTTTCAGATTCTCTGTAGATGACGCAGTAAGGAACTTCTTTAGAAATTAGACAGTGCCAACTTTAAAAACGAGAGCTGTGCCCACCTTTAAGGTATCTGCATCTCCTGGTGAAACTTTTAAAACTGCCTACATTACTCAGCCAGTGACTGTCACTACAAGTCAGTGCATCTTTCCAAAAAGGATATGCAAATATCATACATACTTTTGAACATGAAAGCCAGTGATCGCAGGTATGTCAGTGAACACCCACATCCATTATCATACGCACTGCTTCTGTTGTCCAGTGTAAGGTTATTCAGGACCGTGAAGGGACTCAATTGTGAGAGTGATCAGGTTAAAAATAACACAGAGGAAAAAAAGTGTTGTCATCCTGGCAGATGTTCAAGTCATGTTGGTGGCTGTGGAGGGGGAGAAGGGTATTGATAGAAATAAAAGCAGGCTTTGCTATTTTCAGATGCTTTGTTCTTGGTTCAGAGAGGAATGTGATGAGCTGTGCTGGACATACCAGCTCACTGCACTTGGCTGCTCTGCTGCTCCCAGGTTGGGACTGTGCTCCTCCGAGTGGAAGGCAGAGCTTGGGTGGAAAAGATGCTTGGGTTTGGCCGTGCTTGGGATTATGCAAAGACCCAAGCCGTTGTGATAAGGGTGTGATTGGGTTTCTGGGAAATTTGATCAGCCTTTTTTAGTACAACAGTCTGTTTTGAGCCATTGATTCTGAGAATCTGTGTTGTAGAGTTCAAGGTGTGCAGCTGAACTTCACCTTTTGTTCCTTACTTCAATTATCTCTCTGTGCCAGTTCTAGCTTTTTAAAATCCTCTTTTGGCTCTGATTCTCAGTACTGATCCAGCCCACACTGTTCTTCCTGCTTCTTGGAATCTTTTATTGTTCCTTACAGTACAGAAGATTCAATGTAGGCTCACAGAGCACTGTATGTCCCACGGTTCTAGAGCATCTTTAGGCAAAATACCAAGGGTTGGCTCTAGCTCTTTTCTGGGAGCTGGGAATGTGGCTGCAGTGTGCTCCAATAGCTGCAGAAATTGTTGTGGGTTTCTTTTGTGTGTGTGAGCACAGATGAAGGGAGATGGATCATCTGAAGAAAGGAAATGGACCTGGCCTTAGGACGAGTCCCTTGTCACCGCGAGTAGCAGATGCTCCAAGGGCCCGTTTGTGCTACGTGTAGAGCAGTGTGTGATACGATCGTGAAATACTGCAAAAAGATGCTTTAACTTCCCATTTGTGGGCTGTGGAAGGCAGTGATCTAATAGTAGTGTGCTTCTTAGCAAAATCAAAGCAGGACCATTAGTGTACACTGACAGAAGAGTTGTGACTTGGTTGTGCTGTCAGATGTTATGTTTGTTTTTTTTTTTTAACTAGTCAGCAGGTTTCTGAAGAGAAACATTTGAGCATTTTAGCATGAAGTTTATATAAGTATTTTTATGATTTTTGTTTTTCAGGAGTTTATAAAATATTTAATCTCATTCATGAGTCGAACTTCCTTTTTAAGTCATGGATGACAAGGCTTCTGTTGGAAAAATCAGTGTCTCTTCAGACTCGGTATCCACTCTTAACAGTGAAGATTTTGTCTTGGTTTCCAGGCAAGGGGATGAAACACCATCTACAAATAATGGTAGTGATGATGAAAAAACAGGACTGAAGGTAAGAATTAATAACCTGAGTTTGTTCGCTATTCTTCTAATTCAAACTAACCATAGAAGAGCTTAAAGAGGGACTTCTTTATTGTGGAAAACTTGACAGAAAGGAGAACTTATTCAAGAACTGATTTTGCCTGGAGTTTCTACATTACTTTGCTGATGCCAAGGTGATAATTAGGTTTTGTGTAAGAGCTTTATCCATCACTACCTGTGGGTTGTTTTCTTTCCCACTTAACTTAATCCCTTATGAAGTCTTTAGTATGAAACAGAACTCGAAACTGTGATTTCCTCACAGCTTTCAGGTAGAAAGCAACATTAACACACATTGGATTTGAACGTATTTTTGAATTCAATTATGTATTAAAGTTTTCCCCAATGTGAAACATTCTCTTTAAGAAATGCAAGAGTGTACTTATAACCAACAACTTGGCATGAATCTGAGAATACAGGCTTACGTGGGAAGGCTTCTGTGAATTGGAAGGGCATTGACATCTTCTCACTTTTAAAAGGATATTTCTGGAAAGAGACCTTCATCACTTCTTTTTCTTTTCTTCAGCTATTTAAAGAAAATCTTTCATCCCAGTATATATTTCACAAGTCTTTAAGCAAAGTGACACTAATAAGGTGGTCACTCAGAATTCTGTCTTATTAACGTGTTAAAGGCTGAGCATTTCCTGTAGTGTTTCAGGTTAGTGTGTTCTTGGTGGGAGATGGACAGACCTATTCCACTGCTGCAAGAGACTGCAGTCAGTCACATCTATGTCTTTAAAATAATGTCTTTAAAGACGATAAGGAATTGTGTTCCATCTGGTGGACTGGGTATTCCTCTTTTCCGTAGCAGCAGTTGGTACAGAGACTTGGAATATTTCTTGATGCCTTTGCTCATCTTTTACTTCCAATTGCTGTCTTTGTTTTTCTTGCATCGATTTGAGTCCTGCACAGTTCAGGCCAGCATAGTGGCTGTTTTCTTTTATAAAAGTCTTCCAGTTAATTCTGTTTCTTAAGACTTAAGATCTTGTGTTTAATCTGGCAAAAATGTTCACTTACATCTTATTGCAGTTGCAGAATTTTGTATTTTCACCTCCTAGATGGATAGTCTGCAAAAATTTGAAATTTCCTCAATAATCAGCATGATGTTCTGTAAAACTTGCTTAAAGACTGCAACCTGACACGAGTCTGTAACCTCGTGGTAGGTGCTGCATATACCAGCAGCTATAAATACTTCAGAATGCAGTATGGTTTCCATCCGTAGTGGTCCTTTCCTTGAGAATGCCTATGTAGTAATGTAAGTGATTTACCTCACAGAGTCACAGTGCTTCATTTGAGCCTCCAGGGGATGTTCATGGTCTACCAGATTTTTCATTCCATGCTGTTATTCCCAAAAAAAGTTTGGACATGCAAAATGCTGTAGTCTGCAACAACTCTCACTCCACAAGAGAGAGATTTGTATTGCTTGTCTAAAGACTGCCTTACAGTGGCTTTCCTGGTTTGTTAGTATGATAGGATGCATCTTGTTGAGTACAGTCAAAGTGTTAAAGGGACGTGTATGAAGTCATCTTCATGAGGATTGCAAGTATTTCAGAGAAGAATATCTGTAATCAATTTCAGACTGACTCCTGAAACTTCCCACTCAACTTTTCTGTATATGTTTACTTCCAAATTAGTTTATAAAAACTAGCTCCAGGTGTGCTCCACCACTTGATGGGGAAAAGAGAGCATTAGCACTGCTGCTTCCTAATCAGCAACTGTGCAGGAAAGTTGTGCTGTTCCCTGGCTTGGTGCTAAATGTCACAGGGTTTTGCAGGTCTTAAAGATAAGCTTCTTTCTGAATTTGGTGCCAGGACTGAGCACAATCTCTGAACCAAGCAATTCACCTTGAGCCTTTCCATTTCTCAGCGTCTGAGCGTACGTACTGCTCCATTATTGGCTGTAACCTGTGTGATTAATGGAAATGTTATGCCTCAGATAAGCAGTCAGTGCTCAGTTTAAGTTCTGTCAATAGGAAAATTCCTGTGTTAATCTCCTTCTGCTAAAGGCTAGGAAGATCTTTCAGCTGGCCTTCAGGTCAGAAGTAGTCTTCTAGTGTTTTTCTACAAGAATATGGAGACACTACTTCAGAATATAGCTTTGTTCTTTATCCTTTTCTTAGTCTTCAAATAGCCTTTCAGTAGACAGTTTTACTGTATTATTGAACTGCTTATCTGTGTGAACAGATAAATGGAGTTCTCAAGGTTGTCAGAGAACTGAATGTTAAAAGTACTGTCATGGTGATATCTGAGTGTTAAAGAGTGTGTGGAAACAATCTAACTACAAAATGAGACCTGAAGTTAGGCATTTCATAGGAACGAACAAGGAGGAAGGGTTTTTTAGGGAAGAAGCAATTGCTTTGATATATGTAACAAGGCTGAATTGCAGATGTCAAAACCCATTTGCTATGATGAGCCCACCAAGAGAAACAGAGAATAAGTATAGGTTTGTGTTTGAGCAGAAGTCTTTCTCTGGTGCTCTGTTTCTTTAGAAAAGCAGTTTGAGGATCCTACATTTGCTAAATGCAGTCTGATGATGGTGCTAGAATGTAGGCTTGCGTTTGCAGAATGCAATAGACTGTCAAATTTGTAGATCAAACCTAAGCCTTGCATTGCAAGTCCTTTGCTAAGTTAGAGATCTATGTAATAGTGCTGTGAACTACAGCAGAGTCCAGGAGCACGTGAGTGAGGGGAAGGCAGTAACCAACACTTCTAATAAATGCTTTGTGGCACTGTAAAGAAACTTTTGAAGGAGGCAATGTGCTGTGTAAAACCTAAGCTCAAATTAGTTTGCAGTGTTGTGAGAAATTCTGTCTTCCATCTCAGGCAGACCTATATGAATGTACATATTAGAGCCACAGTGCTTATTTATTCATTGCTGCCGTTAGCTCTGCTCCACGTTTCTGTGCTGCCTCTTATTGGCTTGGAGGCTGCAGCAGAGTTTCAAACAAGTTTACACCTCGTGTTTGCTCTTCCCTCAATGTGGTAAATTTATGGGGTTGTGCAAGACTGGCTGAGGTGAAGTTGGCCTTTGTTCATGTTTTAGGCCTTATTTCTTGGGCAGCTGGTTTGTAGCTGTTGATTCTTGGGATTATGAGAACAACAGAAATCCTTCAGTCCAAAAGTGTATTTGATGTTGCTTTCAGACTTCTTTTGGTGGGTAGCATGGCTTGAGTTCTTGGAATGTTTACTAGGAAGATTCTACTCTGCAGGCTGTTGTTCTTTGCTTATGCAGTGGGCTTCACCTGTATGTTCTTATGCTATACATTAGAATAGTTGAATCTAGACTTTCTTCAATTCTTAAAACACATGGAAGCAGGCATTGGCTTTGCTTTTCTTTACATGAATCTAAGTTGGATCGGTGCAGTGCTTCAAAGCTGTGTTCTGCTGCTCATACATAACATTACATTCTATGTAAATCTCCCCTGTCTTTTTCTTCCTTTTGTGCCTGTTTCCTGTTGTGCTGTAAACAGCTTGAGCTTGTGCTTTACTTGTTCCTGCTATTTTTAGGAACTTTTATTTTCAAGGTCATGTTTTATAGAGTAGTATATAGATGTAATTTATTAACATAAACTGTTGTACCAAACACAATAGCTTGATGTTTGAAGTTGTTTGACTTGTAATCCTGGGCATGAGATAGATGCTGGTTTGTTCCAGAATTCTAAGTTCTGTAGTATATGGTTCCTGTAGAAACAGAAGGTACTTTAGTATTTTAAATACATAGACTTTAATGGGGCAGGTAGGACGTTTTCATTAATCTGTCATATTTTGTTGCAAAACATATAAATCGTGTACAGTAAGACAACGTGGCATATCTTCTTCCATCATCATCTTTTGGAGGAATGTCTGCATAACCCCAAATAATAAACTTGATGCTTAAAGAGATTATGTCTTTGAACAGATGCTTGTGAAAGATTCTTTTAATTGCTTCTATGATGAATCATCAAAAAAAATATTAACGTTGGGATGAAAATTTCACACCACTTAGGCTGCTGCATGCTTTCCTGTTGGCTTCAATGAGTACGAGGTCAGGCTGAAGATGAGCATTAGGAAGTAAACATGACTTCTTGTCTGCGTGATGTCGTAATCCTATTCCAGATTCTTCTATTCCTGTGAAACCTTGTGATCTTACCCATGAGCCACTTAGCATATTTAATTATATTTGGTCCTTCCTGGTACCATTTTGAGAATTAGAATAGACCACTGTAGTGGGTTCTTGTCTAAATTTCCTCTGCCATAAGCCAACCTTTGTAGCCAGTGACTACAGACTAGTTAAAAGTAATCTCACTTTTTCCGGTACTAGGAAATTCCTGCCTTCAGCTCCATTTGTTAGTTTGTTAAAGCAGGGTGGATAGAATCTGATCTGCTGAGCATTTTCATGTTGCAATTTGTGTTTATGGCCATAACCGTGTTAAATTTGTTAACTGCTGTTTTGGTTGGTGGAGCAGCTGGTGAATGACCTTGTGTCTGGGAGGTGGTGGTTTGGTGGTGTGGTTTTTTTTGTTGTGGTTTTTTAAATTGAATGGTCTTTTGTGTCCCAACTCTGTGGCTCTTAGATTGTTGGGAATGGAAGCGAACAGCAGCTGCAGAGGGAACTTGAAGACGTGCTGATGGATCCACCTATGGAAGATCAGTCAATTGACCGAGACCATGGTGATGAAGTTAGGACTGATGGTGATGGGGAAGAACCTGTTGTCCTTGAAGCTTCAGCATCTTCTACCATTAACCCAGTGTCGGTGGCAGGACTCCAGAAACCAGAAATGAGTTTGCCAGTGAAACCATCCCAGGGAGGTTAGAAAAAAATGGGGAATACCTGGTGGTATCTTCTGAAATAGCTTTATCTGGGGAAAGACAAGAGAGTTTTAGGTACAGGTGTGTCCAACTGTCCCTGTTTCTCATTGAAATCACCTAACGCGAGTTGGGTGATTCAGGAATTACCATATGCTGAACCATTTTCTCCTCTGAAAACACTTTCTGTACTGGCCTTGTGCAGAAATATTAAGATTATTTGCCTGGCTGTATAAAAAATTCATCTATTTAGCTTGTCTGTGCATCTTACTACTTCATGGAAAATTGGTGCACTTGTATCACAAAGCTCTCTGAGTGAACTGACTGATTGTAGAATTTGGATGGCAGTGTTTTCTACTGTCAGTAACTTGCTTTCAGGCAGAGTTTTTCTGAACTGTTTTGGTCTAATCTGCCTTTCTGTAATGTGTTTCTTAGTTGCTTTTTACATGCACTTGATCAACCTCTGATTTTACTTATGTTTGCCTTGTCTTTCTTCTTATGTTCAACTTTATGTCTTACCTTAGACTGTGGGGATTTGAGCCCTTTTACGCCTGTGACTGATGAGGACAGTGTGGTGTTTAGCAAGCTCACCTACTTAGGCTGTGCCTCTGTGAATGCTCCCCGGAGTGAAGTGGAAGCCCTCAGAATGATGTGCATCCTACGAAGCCAGTGCCAGATTTCTCTGGATGTGACTCTGTCAGTGCCTAATGTCTCTGAAGGAACAGTGAGGTACGAAGCTCATTCAGTTGTACTCTGGCTTTGTCCATTTGATATTATCTTCCAGCAAAGGAAATAAGTTACTGTTTTATCTGGGAGAAGTCTTGAGCAACTTAGGATTTCTTTTAGCAGAAAATGTGGATTTTAAAGAGATCTGTGAAAAGTGGGGCTTCAGATTTTTTTACCAATGATATTTTATGCCCAAGGGGTCAGTATGAAATACAGTCTTGACCCAGGGTGCCACAAAAGCCATGGTGGGAGTGGTTGTTGATTAAACACTTTGGAAATAGCTTGGAAAATATTTGGCTTGTAAGGTAGGATAGCTGCTGGTACACAAGGCTTAGCAGGGATGAGGCCATCCACTCTGCATATTAGTTAGTTTCTGTATGATGTACATTCTCCAGTACTGTCAAATTGTTGAGGCTTGCAAGTTAATAGCTGGCTGAAATACTTCTTCTAAAACTGCAGGGTTTCTTTTCTGTCTTCTCTTTTTACAGACTTTTAGATCCTCAGACGAACACAGAAATAGCAAATTATCCAATCTATAAAATCCTTTTCTGTGTACGAGGGCATGATGGGACCCCTGAATGTGATTGCTTTGCTTTCACTGAAAGCCACTACAATGCAGAACTCTTCAGGATTCATGTCTTCCGATGCGAGATCCAAGAGGCTGTAAGTTGAATCTTTTTGTCAAGTAATTATGTAAACATAGAAGTTATTTCCAAGATAGAGCAAAATTATATCAGGTACTTCAGAGGTAATACAATTCATTACCTTTCATACCTCAGATGTGAAATGAGAATGCATGTTTAATGTTCTGACTTTCTAAGAAGTGCAGGAAAAGTTAATTAGACCTACAGCAGCTGCAAACACTTTTAAAGAGTCATTTCTTATTGTGTTAGTAAGTGAAAATTCAGATCGGTTTTCAGCTGCTAAATTCTGTTCACTTCAGTGTTTCTGAACTTTTTTGTTGCTGTGTAAATGCAGGTGAGCCGAATACTGTACAGCTTTGCCACTGCCTTTCGTCGTTCCGCCAAGCAAACTCCACTTTCAGCCATTGCCACTCCACAGACTCCAGACAGTGATATTTTCACCTTCTCTGTGTCACTGGAAATCAAAGAAGATGATGGAAAAGGTTATTTCAGGTATAGGTCCTTAATTCTTGTGCATACAGCATCTGTTTCTCTTATTGGAAAGTAAGGAAATGGGTCTGCTAGAATTTGTTTTTTTGTGTTGTGCTCAGCCTATACACAGTGCCCTTAGATGTTTAATGCAGCCATTTATAGTCTCCTGTAATTGCTGAAGTGTCTTTATTTCAGTACGGCATGTCTGCCAAATGTTCTGACTTGTTGAGCCAAATATTCTGACTTGGCTCCCAGCCACAGCTTCAGCAGCATTTCTTTTCTTGGATTTGCATCTAGCTCAAGCTTTATTTATTAAATAAATAAATAAATCATATCTAATAATCCAATATTTATTCAGCACCTTCCATTGTAGACAATCCAAAGGACTGCTCAAGTGCTAGCAGCTGAAAAACGATTAGCTCAGAGCCCAAGCATGAAAGATACAGATGGTTCTTGGGCTCGGATGCAGCAGCAGCAATTGCCAGGATGTGTAGCTGCAGCACACGGTGGTACAGTAGGTGATGTTCAGTCCTGCTGGCATGGTACTGATGTTGTTGTAGCCACCACGGTGCAGGTAGTGTAGAACCATTCCAGCAAAGTAGAATCCTATCTATGATGGGTGTACTGTACAGGTTTTAATTCAAATAGCTGGCTTTAGAGGTTTGACACTAATTCTTGTATGATCTCTGAAGTTCAGACCTATACTTAGTATACTTATTCTAGAAATTAAAATAACTCTTAGAAAGATTTCTGAAATAAACAGTTTGCCTCCCTTGTGAAAAAAGAAAGTGATATGCTGCTTTGTGTAAGTAATAACGTGCAATTGCTATCTATTAAATAATATGAGAAATCAGTATTTAGAAACTTTCTTAAAATGCTGCTGGACATCTCACAAGAATGTCTGATGCTGGTTTTGATACGTTCAAAGAATACAGATAAATGGTGGTCTGAATATTTTTTTCCCTTTCTGATAAATAACAGTGCAGTTCCCAAAGACAAGGACAGGCAGTGCTTTAAACTCCGCCAAGGAATCGATAAGAAGATAGTGATTTATGTCCAACAGACAACTAATAAGGAGCTTGCTATTGAGAGGTAATGATATAAATTAAAAAATATATATATCTTTATTTAATGTTTTGTGCTCTTTCTTCCGAGGCAGCAGTTTAATAACTTTTATGAATACTCTTTTTGTGTAACTTAATTCCATGCCTCTGAGTTGAGTGGAACTGTGCAGAAGATCTGGCTGGTTTGTTCAGCATGTGTGTGATGGGGACACAATGCAGGCACAGTGAAATCTTGCACAGATCTGCTTGTTTAGCCAGTGGTCATATCTCCTCTAACCTGTTCAAAAACATTCCTTTCTTCTTGGTTGCGTCTGAGAATATTTCTTGTACATATGCTTTGAATCTGCTGTGGTCTGGAATTCTAGAATATGAAGCACCTTTGTAGGGAAGAGGAAAGTTCAGATTTCAAATCTTTCACTTCATAGAAATGAACAGGCAGTTTTTGATGACTGACAGAATTTTTTGTAATACAGAGAAAAGATGCAGCTTCTGCCAAACTCTGCAGTCTGACAAAAAGCAGGAACTTCAGGAAGTGTGGTCAACCAGAGGATGAAGTGCAATATACCTCAGTGGGTAGTATTTATGCAAAGTAAAACCATAAAAGATAGTTCCTTGCACTTCATGTGGAATTTCCTGATTCTTGTTAGTGTCAAAGGTGAAATTCTATGCAAACATGTCTCAAACCAACCAGCCAAACAAGAAGAAATGAAAAGAGAAGAAAAGAGGCAGTATTATCCTACCTGCAGAATAGGGAGCCCTTGTTAGGAGATTGTTTGACGCACAGTTGTCTTTGAAAACAAAGATAATTGAACTGTACGGGCCACTGTAGGCAGGATAAAATCATCATGTAAATATTCTTGTGAAATTTTGCTTGACATTTTTAATATTGGCTTGAGATTGTTTTGGTTGATGTGCTTGATACTGTGCTCAAATGTCAAGGATTGTTGACATTTCTTACTGCATTCATGGGCTGCTTGTGGTGTGTGATGGAATATTTAGACAATGAATGCTTATGATTTGTTTATAAATAGTAATTTTTGCAGATTAATTTCTTTTGCCTGACTTTCCAGATGTTTTGGCCTCCTCCTGAGCCGTGGGAAAGATGTTCGGAGTGGTGACATGCACCTTCTAGATTTGGTAAGGGTCTTCTATTAACAAAATCTAATGACTTGTACTGTAATTGCTTACGATCTCAGGTTAGACAGAAAAGATTTAGATGCTTAGGCATGCTTGTTGTGGGTTGATACTGTACGTCATACTCTTGAGTGTTGCCCTGGAAAATTGCGTTGTTAATTCTGTTTTTATTTTCAGAGGTGATATCTGTTATAGGATCATGCAAAATGAACTTCACATGCCCTTTTCTCACCTCTGCTGGAGCTGTTTTATGTAGTTGAAGCTCTTGTAATATAGAAGTTGCTTTAATTTAAATAAAGATTCATAAGCTTCCTTGTTTCCAGGAGTCGATGGGTAAAAGTTCTGATGGGAAATCATACGTGATCACCGGCAGCTGGAATCAAAAATCTCCACACTTCCAATTTGTAAATGAAGAAACACCAAAAGGTATGAACCTGGACAGATTTTGTCCTTAGTCAAGGTAGGTAATTTATACAGGGAGCACTGGATCAGTTCTCCTTTCTTTAAGGTGCTTCTTGCACAGACTTTCTTCATAATATGGGATATAATGTCAGAAACAGAACAAGTATAGAAGAAAAATCCTATGTTTAGAAATAATGCTTTGTAGGAATAACTGTGTCTCAATAAGGGGCTGTACAAATGTGGGGACAAGGTGCAGCCTCACTGTGCTCTGTTAGAGTTTAAGAATCCCATTGGAAATTGCACTGAATGGACTGCAGGCTTCCTCTTCACTTAGTTTTGGTGATCAGTTCAGATTTTTCTGCTTCCAAGTTTTTAATACAAAAAGAAAAAGGATTTTGTACCTATGATAATAACAAGGAAATAGTCCAACTATAATCTGGAAGTAACTGATGCTGCATTGCTCTCTGGAGTTCCGAAACAGATCTGTCTTTACTTTTGTTAAGATGTCAGCTAACTGATCATCTTTGCAATGTATTGTCACCCTTAGCTTCAAGGGTTGGGAAACTCCATAGGAATTGACTGAGCAAAGTCATAGAAGTCAGGTGCTGGGTACAGTCTGCTGCTGCATTTGACTCCTTTTGGAGAATCATAGTATGTAGTCAGTTTTCTAAATTCACACAGCTGAGGGGGTCTTAACTGCTGTTTAGTGAGGTAAGACTTGAATTTTTTGTAGGTAACTTCTAAAAATGAATAAAATATTACTTAGCTAGGAGACAGATCTGCACTGTGGGGTATTTCTCTTATTGTTGCTTTGGGATTTCTCTCTAGATAAAGTACTGTTCATGACTACTGCTGTGGACTTGGTGATAACTGAGGTTCAGGAACCCGTTCGATTCATTCTGGAGACTAAAGTCAGAGTTTGTTCACCTAATGAGAGATTGTTCTGGCCCTTCAGCAAACGTAGCTCTACTGAAAATTTTTTCCTGAAATTAAAACAGGTAACACTTTTTTCTTTTTCTTTTCTTTCACCTGCAGTTAATTTGTGATTTGGCAGGGTTGTTTTTCAAAGGTAATCGTGATACGGTTGACCATACCCATCGAGAGGAGGCTGATGGTGTAATGCAGAATAAATACACATACGCTGGGGGTAAAGAAAATTGTAGTTATTTGTACCTGTCAGCTATTCAGAATTTCACTGCAGTTGTTTCCCATAGGTTAAAGTAGAGATTTTACACGTGCCCCTGGTTTCTCTAGGAGGAAAAAAATACAAGCAATCACAAATAAATCCCTAGAACTTGTTAAAAACTTTACTGTTTCTTCCAACTTGCTTTTTTACCATATCTGCTTAAAAGGAAAGAATTATTTCTGTCCGGAATACTCATAATGACAATATGAGGCAATAACTTAGTCTCAAAATAAGGCGGAAAGTTGAAGGTCCAGGTTACTATAGAGATGATGTACTTGAAGTAGCTGCTGTTCTCCTGCTTTAGAAATTACTGCTTTTTTTTACTGAATTGAAAGTCCTGGTTAGAGAAATGGAAAGATATGGAAGCAAACATCATTGTGGATATATGTGATCTTTCAAGGTTTCATAATTCTGGTTGCAGTTCAAAAAAGCAAGGTTATGTATTATTTTTAAAAGAAGATCTGAATGAAGTAGGATGTTTTTCTGTGGTGGTTTTTATTCCTCGTTCATTTGTCTTAGAGCACTAACGTATAGTGGCAATATTTCTTGGTAGTAACAAAGATGAGGTTTGCTAAGGATTCTTTTTTGTGTCTCTGATCTTTTACTTAAAATATGAATAAACATTTCAGGAACTGTCCTTCTAAATTTCCTTCAAAAATTCGTTGACATCAGTCTATTTGCTTAGGATATCTTTGAGGTGGAGCGTGGAGACGTTGAGCTGTTAAGGCTGCTGAGCTATAAATATTTTACTACCTCTAAGAGGCACCTTCTTGTCTTGGTGGTTTAAAGGAAGTTTATTTTACCGAGCTAATTCTGTATCTTTTGTCTTTCTAAATTCACAGGCATTGTGACTTATCTCAGCTAATTCTTTTCTTTCCAAAGCACTGTCAGACTGTCCAACTTCCAGTGTTTACTAATGGAAGATTATCAGAATTCATAGTGGAAGCAACAAATATAGAATGTACTGCCTGATAAGCCTGGAAGGGAAACCTGTTTCTATGGAGCCATGATTAGCCTATTAAAAATACAGCTGTGTAGAGTTGGCTTATCTTACTTTGGCAGTGTTTCTTTATTCGGAAATGGTGAAAGCAGAGACATTTTCTCAGATTACATTTAGTGATTTAGTAATTTTTAGCTTTGATTCATTTCTCCTCATTTTAAGTTAAGTACTCCAAAGAATAAAATTGAGCATTGGGAGCTTACGTTAGAGTATGATTTTAGATTTTATTTCTCTTTTCTTCATCCTTCCTTTTCTGTTCTCTATTTTTATTGCTTTATGACAAAAATAAATAAATAATAGTAATAATAAAAATCAAAATTCTTGGACTGCATTTAAATTTGGGAAACATTTCACAAGGGAAAAATTTCTTTTTAAAGCAAAGGAAGGTGTGAAAGTATTGAAAATTAAGGAGGGAACAGAACTACATCATAATAAACTTTGGAACCCAACAACTTATGTGCACGTGTTCTCACGGCAAAACGTTGCTAAAGAAGTTGGCATGGTGGGAAAGTTAAATTAGAATTTCTTCTCTCTCCAGAAAATTAGAGAAATTAGAGTTCTTTTGAAAGGTTTGAGACGTGGCATTAGGATAGAAGCATTTGCATGCCTGTGGTGCATGCGGTGTTCTGCAGGGATTGGATGTCATTCGCTGCAGAATGTGAGTAAAAATGTTTTCTTGTTGTGTTCCAAACAGAAGTACAACCTGTACGAAGTAACCTGGAGATCTGTATAGCTTTTTGTGGTATTTTTTTTTCCCGTAGATAAAGCAGAAGGACAGAAAGAATAACTCAGACACATTATATGAAGTCGTGTGTCTAGAAAGTGAATCGGAGAGGGAGAGAAGAAAAACCACAGCGAGCCCCTCTCTTCGCCTGCCCCAGTCCGGGTCACAGGGCTCAATGATTCCTTCCCCTCCAGAAGATGATGAAGAAGAAGGTAAGATACAGATTGTGTGCTTTAAATCCTTCAGCAAACGAAAACCAGAAAAACCCCAAAACAAACAAAACCAAAAAAAAAACGTAGTTGATAAATCTTAGTTATGAAACATGTTGAATTTTTTCCAATCAGAATTTGGCCGCTGCTCATGGTTTTTTGGTTTTTGTTTTATTGTTTCTTTGGTTCTAAATCTTGCTTTAATGCTGTGAGTATTCAGTAACCAGTACCCCTGCATTCCTGGATCAGCCTCTCCCTTGTCTGACACTTCTGTGGTTTGTCTGTGCCTTGCTCAGCCCAGGCCTCACAAAATCTTCAGTGTGATATATTTGGAACAATGTGAAAAGAGGCTGCTAAAAATTTGGGATTATCATATAGCTTCTGCCCCTCCCTGAGCAGCTGGGAAAAGATTTGAGAGTGCAAATGAGAAGCTGGTATTTGAAAATGTAAGCAAGCAGTGTGTTTTAGTGAAGAGGAAAGTATAGACATCTGCAATACATAAAACTATACCAGGACTTGTCCAGTCTGAACCTTAATGCATTTTCAATCTCTCTCTCTTTAAAAAAAAAAAAAAAAAAAAAATCTCTTGAGCTAAAATATGGACTATAAGCATCTGGCCTCACAGCATTGAGCTGAATATAGATGACTTGAGTTTCTGCTTTTTCTGCTGACATTTAATGTGATCTTGAGTGGATTGTTTCACTTCTGTGCCTTACAGTACCTTTATTTAAAAAGCCAACAAAAAGAAATTAGTTTCAAATTTAATTCCTTTGCAAAATGTTATTCATAAAAACTTCTCCAAGCCTTTGCTATCTGGGAACATACATACATATGTATATCCATATACATATATATACATACATATATGTGTGTGTGTTGTTTTGTTGTTGTTTACAGTAGATTAAACTCTTGCATTGCTGACAATTTCAAGTATCAATTAAGATAGTATTTTTTAATTCAATCTATGCTGTTTCATCAATAATGCAAAAACAGTGTTGGCTGCTGTATCAGTGAAGTGTGTTTTTGTACGTCATCATGCCTGTTGTGAGCATTTAAAGATATCTGACAGTACAGAAGTTTAGTACTGGTTTAAAAAAAAGGTTGTGTGATTATGGTCATCTAAGCACTCCCTGCTCAGCTCCCCCTCAGCTCAAAGTTTGATTCAAAAAGCTGTTTGGTTTAAAACAGAGATAGTATCAGAAAGTTTCAAAGTAGAAGCACAAAGCAGTTAAATACTTTGTGGACTTTCATGGATGTTAACAATGTTACAAGCCTGCGGTTGGTGGAACCACATGGCTTTTATTGTCTTTTCAGCTTGTACAGTGTTTTAGCTTTTTAGATAGGGAAAATTGTGCTCTTTGAGAATTTTTATGATTTTCCAAAAGTTTGGGATATAATTACTTCTGGGAAAGGTCTCTAGTCTTGCCTCAGTGGAAATGCAGCTAGATAGGTTGACCAGAGCCTTGTCCTGTTGTTTCTCACATTATCCAGTGATGCAGCACAGAGCCTCTCTGGCTCTTTGTGTCAGAGCTGGGCCATTTTCATGGAGATTTTTTTTTTTCTGTACTGGTAGCCCGAATTTCACATATTGCAGCTTGTCTTCTGCATCTTCTCACATCTCTGTGCAGCTCTGAGAAGAGACTGTTTCCGGCTTCTCTGTGTTGAGCACACAAACAGTGCATCCACAAATGAGAAATTTCTCTTGCCACAAGCTAATGCAGTTAGTGAAGCAATATTTGTGTGTGCTGTGATAAGGTAATGTCTATTGATCTCATAGCATCCCCTCTATTCTGTTGGCAGACAATGATGAACCTCTCTTGAGTGGTTCTGGAGATGTTTCCAAAGAGTGTGCAGAAAAAATTCTGGAGACATGGGGAGAGTTGCTGTCCAAATGGTGAGTGGCAAAATTGCATTCTGAAAATTAAAATTCTGAATGCTGTCAGTCTGTTTACTCCTTCTGTCTCGATTTTTTCTTATTTCCAGAAGCCAACTGAAATTAGTTTGGGTTTAGTCCTCTTTCATCCCCATAACACCCCATGTTCTCTGGCTTTGGATTTCTTCAGGGAATGTTTTTAAGTATTTTCAGTTTTGAGTGCGTATTTAAATACAGCATAGAAATTGTTTTATGCTGCTTCCTTAGGTGATTGTCTCTTAAAATGAGTGATACATGTATGTAAACTTCACTGGAGTTTTGTTACAAAAAATTCTAAGCTAAGTAATAAAAGAAGAGGTGCATTTTCTTGTCTTTATTTGCATAGATCTCTTCCATTCCTCTTTGTAATTCTGATTTATTTCACAGCCGTTTTTCCCTGCAGCTGTCATATCTTAGTAACCACAGCTAAAGAATATGGGAGATTTGTACTTGGATAGCAAAGATGCTTTTCCTCCCTTCTCTGAAGGAAGATGGCTGTAGAGCCTGCCAAGAGGGAAGTACACGAGTTCTATTTTTTTTTCCCAACAAAATGCCAATTTATAAAAAGAGCGTTTCTTGACAGTCAAGTTGCTAATGCAACACCTGTTTTCCATTAATGAAGGTTCCTTTTGTCACCCACCTTCAAGTAGCCTGAGTGATTTTAAGAAACTGATGTTAATTATTGAAGAACTCAGGGTGTGTTTTTTTTTCTTTTTTGCAAAGAGAGATGACAAGCACAACATCATATTGAGCTCAAATATGCCATGTTTCAGCTCTTGGTTTAGTTGTTGCCTTCTGCTATTTAATATCATTGAAGAGCAGGATGAGGGCTGTACAGCAACCAAGGGTCTTACCAAGAGCATTGGATCTAAGGAGTAGGACAGCAGATTAGATGGAGTCTAATGCACTTTAGCAGAGGGAAAGCACTGATGTGACCTTTTAGCCAGGTCTCATCAGTCTTTGAATTAAGGTTATCACAGCTTAGTATTGTTTCTTCTGCAGTTGTTTGGTGCTCATTTAGACAGCACTTTTACTGCTGGTTTGTTTTTGCACTACTGTTTGGACTTGGTTGATAGGAATGGGTGCAACAGAAATGGACACTTCTGGAAGAAGGGGTGGCTGCGCTGAGGTCGTTTTTTCTTCCCTCTCCTGGACTTATAGAAGCTCCTTTAACAGCTGAGCTCTGTTCATTTGTTGCTATGAGAAAGTTTCAGCTTGAGTTTTTTGTAATTCTTCTGAGGGCTGAAAGATAATTAAGCTACCTGACTCCAATTGAAAATGTTTTGGCAGCTCTAAGAGGATATGAAGTGCTTCTTTGCTAATGCTGGCAACAACAGCTTTAATGTGTGTTAAAGGGCTTTCCTTCTTAACTAACAATGAGTATTTGGAAATAATGATCCTTGAGCTTTCAACATAAGAGGATTGAAAATCATAAAAATCAGAGTTCAGGTAACTTCATGCTAGGTTTTTAGAATCCTATAATTAGATTTATATAGCAATTAAATGTGTGCTGGTATTTTGCGATTTCTTATTAACGTTTGGCTCATACTTTATAACTGGTGAGTCACAATTTTTTCATCTCAAGATAGTTTTGAAAAATGTGGTAGTGTATGGCCACAGCCTTAAAGTTCACGGCTGTATTCATTAGAATTACTGTTGTACTTACTCAGATCTAAAGCCTTGATTTAATAAATTAAAACCTTTACTGACCGGTCTTTGATTTTAATATTTGGTATGGTAAGTATTTTATATAAACACGTAAATGTGATCTGTAAGCTTATAGTTATGGATGTATGTAGATGTAAGTGTAGTTGTTATATAAACGTTATCATAATTAGGAGGATGTAATGACTGTAGCTCCTGTGTGATACAGACTGAGTTAAATGTCCAGCATGGCCCAGATGGCTGCAAGTCGTTGTGCTGGAACTGGAGGAGGGCAGTAAGGATTCCCAGCCTGTGTAAAATCATCATCCATGTATGCCAGACTGTTAAGGCAGATTATTAAATACAAGTTTATTAAAAGAATGCAATCAATATGAATTAAGTTCAGCTTTTGCCTTTATTTATCAGTGCATTTTACATAGGTTTCTTTTTTTTTTTTTTTCTTTTTTTTTTTTTTGTAACTGCAGAAAAATTATAATTTCTTTGATTTAAGGGCTCTGTATTTTGGGCATTTAATGTATGAGCCACAAATGGATTGTTGAGCTTAACTTTCTGTAACTGCATAAATTAAGTTCAGTTTTTACAACTTGAGTGCTGTAATTTATGAGCTGTCAACCAGTCCCACTTGAAAAAAAAAGGGAACCATTTAGTTGGGAATAGCTTGTGTAGCAGTGGCAGCTCATGAAATGTCTGGGTGTAGTTTGAAAATCCTGCATGGTTTTTTGGTAGTTCTGCTACAACAGGGTTCCATGGTTACCTGTCCACGCTGATGGAAGGAGCAGAGAGCAGTGTTTGCTTCTGCAAGGTGTTCAGTTTTTTGGTGTGGTTTGAGCTTGGACTTCTACAAATGTGGTACCTCTTCCCCAGCTCTAGTTTTTGCTGTGGGCTTTTGGTTTGTTGAGTGTTTTATAATGTATGCTTTTATTATATCTAAATTCCTTAGGAATCAAGAAGATAGTTTGCAAAGTTCTCCAAATCTGTTTTTTCCTTAAGTTCTCACTTTGTTAAGAATTTCACTTCATGTGGAGCATCTTCATGTTCCTGTCATCTGGCATGTCTGGTGCTGCACATCACTTGTTCACCTACTTGTTTATTTCTGCATGGATAATCGTAACAAAGCCTTCCCCTACACCAGGCACCTCAATTTGAGCGTGAGGCCAAAGACATTGTCAGCACTGGTGAGAAGTGGTGTCCCTGAGGCCCTGAGAGGAGAGGTCTGGCAGCTGCTGGCAGGGTGTCATAACAACGATCACCTGGTGGAGAAGTACCGAATCCTCATCACAAAGGTAGGATGCTTTTTTCCATTTCCCTCCCTCTGGCGTGTTAATGTAAGGAAGTAGAGAGACTCCCAAGTATGTAACCTCTTGCTGAAAGGCTGATGTGTTGTCTGAATATGGTGTATCAACCAGTGAGGAGAATTCAGTCAGCAAAAAAAAAGCCCAAAAAACTAACATGCAGTATTAGTTATTGCCATACTTCTAGAGTGTTTTCATAATCCTTGCTACATCCAGATGAGTTCTGAGTTAATGTGTCAGAAATTAATATTCTGTTAATTGCATTCATAAGTGACAGATTCAGGGAGCTCATTTCCTTTGCTTGTTTGGATTTCCTGGATGAAAGCTGAATTTTCTTCTGTTGTCTTAGTAATGTTTATGCTAAAAAATCCAGTGCTAGTTGAATTGCAGCTTTTTTTTTTTTTCCTGAGATAGAAAAACAGTGTGTTGTACATTTTGCACTAGAAGCAGTTTTTTAACTTCTCATCTTGAATGCTGACCTCAATAACATGGGAAAATAAAAAAAAAAAATCAGTTACAGCCATCGAGTGTTTCTGAAAGTTCTAAAGTGACAAAGAGGAGGCATTTCTTCCTTACTAAAAAATCCATGTGCTGATTTGGTTTCAATCACTATCGTTACAGATAAGTTCTATTTTACTATTTTCATCAAATGTGTGTCTCTAGAAGGACTGTGTTGAATTCCTTAATATTGCTACCTGCATAGTAGAACTGTAACTTGTGTTAGTTTGGTGAATAAATCATATAGATATTATGGAGGTTGAGTGCTCTTGCAGGGAGCAACTCAGAGCTACCCTTGCAGTGCTGTCACAATTGCTTTGTGACTGGATGATTGTGTCACTTTTCCCTCTGTTTCAGTATTTTGGTATCAGGATGGGAAAGATGGTCTCTGTGGCACAGTGGATGGCACGTTGTGCAGCCTCTTTCTGATTAAAAAAAAAAAATGAAGTGTTTAAGTCTGTGAGACCTTTCTGCTCATTTACGCTGGGCAGGCACAAAGGAGATAACCTGGATGTGATGTGTTGGAAGCATCTCTGGAGTCCAAGTGCAGGGGGGTGGCTGACCAGCACTGTGCCCTGCAGCAAGAGGATGGCTGAGCCTGCAGCAGTCGTTCAGCGTGAAGCTAATTAAGGAATTAAAGACAATGAGCACTGGATGACCATTTTCATGCCCTGCTGCTTCATGTTAAGTTGGTAGTATGCTACCAGCAATAACCAAGTCTAGCAAATGAACATGAATTCTGTTTTAAGATAGGAGTGCCTTAGTAGACCATTGTTCTGACTATTTGCCTTGTCACTTAAATATAAACTACATGAAAATGGGCTGTGATTCTTTCTGTAGGGTGGGCAGAGAGGATTGTGCTTTTAGAGCAGAATTATCTGTTTGGTGAATTCACACTGCAGTGGTGATTTTGTCAACCTGCAGACAATGGAGTGAGAAAAGCTTACCAAAAAGGCTATCAAGAAGATTATCACTGGCTGATGAGGACCTGAGCCAGGACTTGGAAAGATGATGTTTGCAGACCCATTGTGTATAACAGTGAGCTAACAGTATGATGAAGCCGTACTACATCTTGTCCTTATTTTTTTTATTTTCAAGCCTTTATTTGATAATTTTTAGTTCTAATGCAAATAATTATTCTTACTGCTCTGAAAAGAGCAGCTCAGTTCCAGTCAGTGTGCACCAGAGGCAAGGTGCTTTATAATGCACTGCTTTGCTGGCCTCGTAATGCTCTGCCATGTTTTGCATGTCACTAATGCAAACTCCACTCTAACAGCAGTGCAGTTATTTGTATTACCATGCCCTGGAAATGGTCTGTCGAGGAAGGCTGCTGTGGTGTAGTGCTGAGAAGTTGATGTGAAACCTTTGCTCTTCAGTGCAAGCAGGAGATGCAGTGTGGCACTCTGAGTACTCGTAATCCGGTGCCCCTTCTCTCTTAATGTTGACCTCTATTTCTGTAGCTGTATTTGATTTCTGCCAGACTGTTCGTGACCCCATGTGGCAGCACAGCCCCAAATTAATAAGGATCTGTGTTGACAGCTGCTTCAAAAGCATCTGGCCTCTTTCAGTGATTTTTTTATTGTGAGCAGGGTGTTGGATGTGGTCTCTTCAGCATTTCTTGTGATGTTTGCTGCTTTCCTGTGGAATTGTGGTTTCTGGCGCTTGGAGAATTGTGTTTTTAGCTTTGTTTTGCAAATTAACTGCTGCAAGAATAATTTCTTGTTTACTGTTAAAGTGTGGGTACCCAACAGTTGAAAGAGAAAGGTCTTCCAATGGGTTTCCCCAGTGAAGGCTGTATCTAGTTCTCCCGATAAATCTGATCTGTGCATGAAGGTGAAAAACAGCACTGAGCCCACAGCTTAAGGTGCTGTGTGAAGCCTTCATGACCGCGTTCTTTCATTCGTTGTCTGCTCCGTGCTGTTTTGGTAAGCACTAGCTGGGTTTGGACTCTGTGCTTTTATTGTTGCAGCAGTGTCTGAGTTGCACCACTGTGCTGCTTCCACAAATTACTTTTGAGAATTTGTACACCATCTGTGTGCAATAATGAAGCTTTTAGCAAACTCCAGATTGCCACGCTCATGATGGAGAGTGTGGCTGAAAGCCAGCTCAATGAATTGAGGTCACGTCCCCACTGGGGGCTGAAAGAAAACTCTAGGTGAGACGATCTTGACAATCCTTTAAGAGGCATCTGTTCCTGGTAGGACTTTGGCAGTCATGGTTATGGCTGTTGATCTTTGGGCTTTGGCCCCTGAACGGGAGGAGGAGAGAGAAGGGGACTCACTGTGGCTGTCAGTGGGTACCAAAGGAAAGATGCTGAATGTCATAGATGGAAGGAGACATGGCTGAATGGAAGACCTATAAAGCTGGTTGCAGAGGTTAAAAAGAAATCATCATCAAAGCAAAACAGACAATGCCTACTTTTCAGACCAGATTTTTAGAGGATTAATACATCTCCTGAACCTTTCAGATCAGTGGAGGTCTTGCAATTTTCTTGCAGATAAATGCTTCATAGTACCACAATTTTAAGGACCTGAAATATTGAGGAAACAGTAAGAAGTTTTGGGTGTAGGTCTGTGTGGGAGGACATAAGGTGAAAGGATTAAACAAACAAAAAAAACCAACCCAAACATGAGCTGTTGTACCGGATAAATACACTGCATTAAGAAAAATTCAACATGAGGGACGTTTTGTGATACATCTTAAAGTAAATAAATACATACAACGCAGTGGCAGAGGGCTGTCCTGGGGTGTCACCCTGGGTAACATTTCTGACAGTTGTTAATCATGGTTATAGTTGGGCTCCTTCCACTTTCTCCTGCAGCAGGGCTCTTGCTGTTCACTTTCTCATTTTCCCATTCTTTTATCTCCATGAGCAGAGGATTACAGTACACAAGTTATACCAAATACACCCTCAGTCTTGGTGCAAATTACACTAATATTTAATGAAGAAATTAAAATGTCAGTACCATTATTTGAGTGAATGGGTTGCTTCATCAGTGGCACGCAATACTGCAGTGCTTTGGCTGTGGGTGGCTAACATTTATTTTCCATGAGTTGCAATCAGGATTCCATGTGTTCTTTTAAGAGGAATCCGTGTAATTTTCTAGGAGTACAGAGGGCCACAACTGTGTGTAATTAATTGAAATTAATCTTAACTTACATCTGAGAAGCACAGTATGGAAGAAGTATGACATAGGTTTGCTGTTGGTGTGCCTGAACATGCAGATTCCTTGTTTGATGAGTTTTGATCATGTGGTGATAAAAGTTTAATTATCTTTTATAAGCAGTAGGTCTCCCAAGAATTCTCATTGTAATTTTGAGTTCTTGAATACCTTTTAATAGTCTCAGCTGAGGTTGTGCTACATCCCTGGGAGAAACACCTGAATGCAGAAGTATTTTCAATGATTGGCACCCAGAATCCTGGCTCCCAGCTACCAAAACCAGACATTTTCACATCTCTTAGAGGAGACTCTTGGTTGGCTGCTTGTGCACTGGACCCCAGAGCTGGTCTGGTAGGGTTACATCCTGCTCCGTCACCTTTTAGAGCCAGTTCCAGCCTTCCCAGTGTGCCGCAGGTTGGGTGCAGGGTGGATTGAGAGTCAGTGTGAGCTCATGGTCATGGTTTGGGTGCACGCAGTGAGCAGCTGTAGGTTGGCCTGGACATGGAGCAGAGCTGTTACCCTGTGCTGAGGGAACAACGGGCTGTCAGCTAAAGGAAAACATTCTCTTACATAGAAATGCCTGTTGGCAATGTAGGAGTTAAGCCTGGACTACTAATAAAAATAAAACATGGAGGACGTTTTGATTTAGAGGAACATCTTTTGTTTTGAAATTTGAGCAACCAGACGTTGTTCTGGGCAGTCTCAGGATTTCCAATACTACCTTATTTTTATATATCTGAGATATATTTAAAGTTCAATGTGTGCTGTTTTCCTAAGGATGTTTATAATGTGCCTATTCATGCCTAAGGAGCCAGAAATACTATGTGAATCAATTGGTATGTAAATCATTCTCTGCTTTGGAAAGATAGGAGATCATTTCTCCGGCAGTAATTCAATCATAGCTTGTTTTTTGTATAACCACAATACACTTGCCTAAATTTAATTCAAAGTTTATGTTTCCTAGCTACAGTTCTAGTACTTAATTTTCCATGGGTAGAAATGCCATAAATTACAACAGAAATGAAGGACAATGGCAAAGTGATCTTTTGGGGGAAAGGGGTGGAAAAGTAACATTTTTGGTTTCGGACTTCTGTAGGAGACAGAGTAAAAATCTGCCAAGTCATGGTGTTGTCCAGCCAAGGCTTTTGACCTGTAAAAACACACTGCAAAATGGCTTTTCTACCTACAGATCAACTGAAATCCCAAGTGTTGCAATGTGATGGCGTTGATATTGGTTCCTTTGGCTGTAACTCCATTTCCATTGGGTATCCAACAGCGTGACAAAAGCTTAGCTTACATTAACCAAAACCTTGGGTTTCGGTAGGATCCAGCGTGTGGATTTGAGCTGGTACTGGTGACAGTTGCATGCTTTCATTTTGGACAAAAGGACTCAGGTTGCCAAAGAGCCTCACCTTGCTCCACTGCTGGTCAGCTCAGTCAGCAGCTCCTGGCCCTGGGCTCAGATCGAGCCTCTGTCTCTCTCCAGGTGTGCTTTGCAGCTTGTTGAGTGGGTGAGATGCTCTCAGGTGTTACCCTGTCGATGGGCAAATGAGATGGCAGCGTCCCGTTACGACATCCACGCCTTGGGTGCGTAGGAGAGGCATTTCTGGTCAAATACGTGTGGTGGGATTTGTTGCTGGTGTGACTCCTGTGCACCACTGCTCTCTGGAATGCCAGCAAGCTTTTCGTTGTGTAGAGCTGGTTTCGTTCGCGTTGGTGCCGTCGGTGATAGCGACGCCTTTGCACTTTGTGTGCACGTACGCAGGTGACTTTCCCTTCGGAGCAGCACCTGAATTACCAGTGAACTGCATCTCTCAGCTCGGATGCCCTTGGTTTCAGGTGTCTCCTAAGCAACACAAACTACGCGGGGAAAAAGACGCCGTTTCCCCCCAGAACGGGCTCCTATAGAACGGGCTCCCACCGGGGCTCCTATAGAAAAGCCTTAAGCCCCGCTAGACGCTCGCTCTCTCCTCCCTGCTCGGGCGGTGTGGGAGCAGGGCAGGGCACGGCGCGCCCGCAGAACCGGGCGGCAGCCGCCGCGCTGCAGGAACGGCTGCCTTGCCGTTGGCTCCGAGGTCGCGCAGGGTGAGGCACCGCGGCGGGTGCGGGGGGGGCGGCGGCGATCCCGCGGGGCTCGGCCCTTCCCGGGGCGGGGGCTGCGGGGGAGCCCGGCCGGGTCCCCGCCGGCGCCGCGCCCTCCCCCGCGCTCCTGCCCGCCTCCCTCCCCTTCCTCCCGCCGTCCCCTCCCCCGGCTCCGCAGCGCCGGGCAGAGCGGAGCCGCCGCGCTCGCTGGGGACGCGCGGGGCTTTTGTTCGCCGGCGGCAGGTGAGGGCCGGGCCGCGGCCGCGCGGAGCCCCGGGCCGGGCGGGGGGCGGCGGGGCCGGAGGGGCGCGATCCCGGCGGGGCGGGCGAACAAAGCGGCGCGCAAGATGGAGCCAGGAGAGCGGGGCTGCGCCCCCCGCCCCTCCGCGCATCTCGCGGCACGGGCGGCCGCGGGAGGCGCGGACCGGGAGCCGCCGCTCGGTGGGCCCGCGGCGGGGAGCGGCGGAGCGGGGCGTGGGGCCGGAGGCGGCGGGAGCGGGGCGGGGATGATGCCGTAAAACGCTTTCCCCTTCTCTCCTGTCAGCGTTCGGGAGGACTCCCATCCGCGCTCGAGGAAGGCTCCTTCTCCCTCTTCCCCATCCCTCAGCCCTCCTGAGCGAGGCGGCCCACCCGGAGGGCTCTGATAGCCGCCCTGTGTCAGCGTGAAGTTGCTGACATGACTGCCGCCGGGTCCCCGCGCACCGGTAGCGGCGCGGAGCCGGGTTTAAAGGGGAATTGCGCTGCAGACAATGCACAGCAGCGGCAGCTGGAGCAGCCCTGGGGACCCGAGCTCCGGTTCTGACATTGCTGCACGCAGAGCCCCAGCCGCAATGACAGCAGCTGCCTGGGGCGGCTGCAGGCAGCAGGCAGGAGCATGAAGTAGAGATCACTGCAGTGCTCAAGATGAACTCCTCTTTGGTTGGCAACCAGAGTGGCCGGCCATTCTGTCTCCTGGCCATTAGCTATTTGGAGACCATCAATTTTTGCCTCCTGGAAGTGGTTATTATTGTGTTCCTCATGGTGCTGATTATTTCGGGCAACATTATTGTGATATTTGTCTTTCACTGTGCACCTCTGCTGAACCACCACACCACCAGTTACTTCATCCAGACTATGGCGTATGCTGACCTCCTGGTGGGCGTGAGCTGTCTGGTGCCTTCTTTGTCCCTGCTGCACTACCCAGTTGTTTTAAGCGAGTCTTTGGTTTGCCAAATCTTTGGTTACGTGGTGTCGGTGCTGAAGAGCGTCTCCATGGCCTCTTTGGCATGCATCAGTATTGACAGGTACATTGCCATCACCAAACCGCTGACCTACAACACGCTGGTCACCCCGTGGAGACTGCGGATCTGCATCCTGGTCATTTGGCTGTACTCCTGCCTGGTCTTCTTACCCTCCTTTCACTGGGGAAAGCCTGGATACCACGGGGACGTGTTTCAGTGGTGCGCCAATTCCTGGAACACCGATCCCTATTTCACTCTCTTCATCGTGGTGATGCTGTACGCCCCGGCAGCTTTCATTGTCTGCTTTACGTACTTCAACATCTTCCGCATCTGCCAGCAGCACACCAAGGAGATCAACGAGAGGAGGGTGCGCTTCAGCTCTCAGGATGGGGAGGCAGGGGAGGCACAGCCCTGCCCGGACAAGCGCTATGCCATGGTTCTTTTCCGTATCACCAGTGTCTTCTACATCCTCTGGTTGCCCTACATCATCTATTTTCTGCTGGAGAGCTCCAACGTCTATAGTAACCGCGTTGCATCCTTCTTGACCACTTGGCTTGCCATTAGCAACAGTTTCTGCAACTGTGTCATTTACAGTCTCTCCAACAGTGTCTTTCAGAAGGGGCTGAAGCGTCTCTCGGGGGCGATTTGTGCCTCTTGTGCTAGACAGAGGGTAGCCAAGGACTCCTCTACCTCTAGGAGCAAAAGATCTTCCAATGGATGTCACGTTTAAGACACCTATCAGCTTGACTGGGAAGTGCAGGGACAGCTCTGTAATTTGCAAAAAGTTAAATATGATTTTATGATGTCCAGATTTGCAAAAAGGTTTCTGAGAAATGCTGCTGACACAGAAGAATCAGGAGCACATATCATTGTGGTTTCACTTTAAAAAATTTATTGCTGTGGAGGCGGCTGTGGAGTTTCACCTCCATATTCGTTTTTAAGAATAAAGCTGCATCTTGACACTTACCTCTCCAGCTGGTGTGACTGAATGGAGTGGGTGTCTGAGAGCTTCAGCAAAATGTAGTCTTTCTTACAGTTCTGCTAGGTTCTTTTGAGATTCGTGCTTCACATGTAAATGATAGATCTGAAGTGGAAATGTCATGGTATATGGTATATTACAGGGATTTTTTAATATATGCCAAAGTATATTGACAAAATTTTCCAGCGTTGTACCAGAAGGGGCCAAACAACTTGTTTTTCAGTGCTACCTAGACAGGACTTCCAGAACAGTGGGGAACAATGTGAATGTTTTCTCATGAACGTGGTCTCACGGAGCCGTGAGTGCAGCACTCTGATCTGAGCCGTCCCCGCTCCCGTTCCTCTGCTTGGCTGTGTGTGCAATCAGAATACAGAGACTGCATTTTCCTGGTTGTTGTCAAGTAAGAAAAACTTGAATCAGACCACATCTAGTAGTTAAATAAAACGTGTTTTGATAAGCTAAGAGAAAAATACTTGTCATTTCATGATACCAGAATTGTGGCAGCCACTTGAGAATGATGCCAACATGTGAAAATTATTCTCCAAACAGTGGAGAAACGCCACATTTTTGTGTGGAAATTTTCTCAAGAACAACTTTAAAAATAACATATTCTTCTCCCCCCTCCCCCTTTTCTTTAATCTAAATTCTTTTGATATTTTACATACTAGAACTTAGGGAGAAAGGAAAGAAAACAATTGTCTTCTAAACAGCTAAGGGAACTATGTTGTAAATTTAACTGTAGTATTTGAGTTATTCATAAGTGCACAGAGCTAAATCAGAGACATTTTTCTTTAGGCTTCCGGGGATTAAAGATGGTTCGAATATAGCAGGAGCTAAATCCTGTTGGCAAACACATATTTAACTGGTCAAACAATGTACAGTATCTGAGAAACAAAGTTTCATTGACCACAGCTTTTCTCAGGCTTGCTTAAATGAAGTGTTTTTGAGTATTGTGATGCCATTAAGAATTCAGTACAGCCCTCAAATTGGTTGGTTTTTCAAAAGAATGTCTTCTTACTGGTGTTGTACTGGAATAGTAAAGCATTTGAGCCGTGTCCTATAGCAGTGATTACATCTGCATGGCCCTTTGCAGCCCTGGCGCTGCGTTTGGAGCTGTGACTCTGGGGAATCCTTTGAGCTGTTGTATTAAGCTGTGGTGGGTTTACACTTTTCATACTGGGAAAGGAAAGAAAAATAGGGAAAGTTAGTTTCAGAAGTGTGTTGTAGAACTGGGGCAGTTCTCTTGGCCAAAGGAAGGACTGTGTGTATTTGTTCTCAGGTCTGCTGTTGTTGCTGACCAGGATGATCTCTGTTTTTTAGTGGTCCTTCAAGCACACACGTTCCTTCCTCTATGATCTGCTGGGAGCCCCAGGCCCTGGGCTCAGGTGCTTTGCCCCGGGACAAAGCCATGTCGTGATCTGCTTTCGGTGTTCATCCATACTCCAGGCTGGTCCAGATGAGCTTCCTCCTTAGTTTATCTGAAAGTTTAAGGCTATGTAAATCCTCGTGCCCTCACAGCATTGCTTGTTGTCTTTCATACTGAGATGTTGTCTAGGTAAGGGCTTACGCCGTCATCTTTGCACGGACAGCATAGAGGAGAATCGTTCTGCTAAGCTGTGTCTGTCTGCAGTTTGGTCAGAGACACCTGGCTGTGCCAGGTAGCCTTGGCGGGTGGAGCAGAGCATAGTGGTGCAGTGAGTCATTTATAAACGGTGCATTAGCTCACAGCTGGCTAATTGTTCTCTAGTGTTTTGTAGGTGTCATGGCACGGGTGGGCTTTAGGGAGCAGTTTAAGGGCTTTAGTCACTAATATCGATGCATTTCTGTGTGGTATTTTTGGAGCAGCCTCTCAGGTAAACTCCCAGTAGCTTTTCTCTGACTCTTCACCTTTAGCTAACATTTCCACGTCTTTGAAGCAATGCAATCTAGCATTCAAAGCATTTGATTAAATTAATAGAAGAAAAAAACCAATCTGCTAGGGCTTAAAACCCTAAATATGGTCATTTCGAGTTAAAGTGGAAGCTGGAGGACAAATGTTTGTTTTTTTTTCCTCCAAATTTTATGGCATGAATAAAAGGTTTAAGTAGGAGTATTCAGTGCTAGTTTTTGAGAATATGGAAGTTTAGCATAGATTGCAAGGGCTTAATGATGGCATAGAGATTTAACTTGAGTTGAAGCAGTTGCTGCTTAAGCTGTAAGCCTGGACTTGTACTTAGTGTAGTGGTTGGTACAGATTCAGATGGAAATTTGCAGCCATTGTTGCTTGCATCTGAACTTTAATTGTAATATTCATAACAGCTAGGCTTTCGTTCACTCACTCATCTCAAAGTCTTCGGCTCGGGTGATTTCCATGGGAGGTGAAAGTCAGGATCTGGAAGTCTCTTCCAAGGTCAGAAGAGCGGAATTGCAGCCAGCTGAAGCATTCAGGTTTCATCCCACATTTTCAGGCAGTTTCTAATATTGCCTCAGTTGCCTGGTTCATTAGTCTGTATTTCTAGTTCTGTCTGTGTTAATTTATCTGTGTTTTAAATTTTAAGTTACGTTTTCCCTTTCAGTTAAAGGCTGGTCAAGGTTTATAGGCGATGAGGTGGTTTAAATATCTGTATTGTTTGACTCCACTGTCTTCAGTGAAACTGCATGGAGGTGGTTCTTGGTCCCTGTGTCAACTGTGCAAGAAGGAATTTCGAAAAGTATTACCTTGTTTTCTCAGCAGTCCATTTAACATCCTTCCTCACGTAGTTAACGTGAGGCACAGTAGTCCTTTTCATCACAATGTGTGCTATGAGTTGTTGGGCAGCAGGCTTTCCACTTGGATTGCTTTCATCACTGTACACATGGAATTAATCTTTCTTGGCTGTATCTTGTGTCAGAGTGTGCCTGCTCATTTAGAAATTGGCATCAGGAGCACTGTGTATGTAAATGTCACAATGGAGACAATACAGAAATCATAATATATCTTCATAAAAATTGTGTGTTGTAAATTCCATCTTATTTTTTATCAGAGTTCTGCCTCACTTTCAAATAGAGCTGCTGCAAGGTCCAATTTACGGGGTAGAATTTAGGAGGTTTTTTTTAATGCCACAGGAGAAGATTTCTATACGCACAACTACTCAGAACGTGAATATTTGCTTCATGGAGCATTTGCTTCATTGAAATAAATAGTACTGGAAGTTTGGGCTGTGGTAGCATTGTTGTTTCCCAAATAGGCTGGGAGAAAATCTGTGAATTATCATTTTAATAACTTTCAATCAAGTGACAGTATTTTTAAACACAGCAGTTATCTTTTGCGTGAAGCAAAAGTTTTATTGTCATCTACTGTTAGTTTTTTATTAAATATTACTGGTTTCTGTGGTCTTTATTCACTTTTGGAGTGGTTGTACTTGTATCTCAAGCTTCTTATCGCTCAGAAATTTGTTTCTAGTAGTTGGAATGACGTGGCTCTGTGTCAGAGTGCCAGAGGACAGTTGTGAATATTTGTTGTAAATCCTCTACGGGGGATTCAGGAGCTGCAGGAAGGATCTTTCTCAGAGCAGAAACTTGAATGAGAATTCCCAAATTTTAGCCCTGTGCTGCATCTCTGAGGCATTGCTCCTTTCCCCTTCGCATAAAGGTTTACGTGTAAGAAGTCCTAAATTTCAGGAAAAAGATGTTTCCAAAAGATACGTTGTGAAATGGAAATATTCAGTGTGAAAAATTGATGAGCAGCTTTCTGATATTTGTTGTGGTGTTTAGCAGCTGTATTGAACCTTTGTGAGCTGGGAAGGCAAACTTTTCAGTCTGCCCTTATTCCACATCTGGATTTGAAGTTGGTTAAACTTGTATCCCTAACTCAGGTTGGTGCTTTAGAAAGTATTTTTCTTAGGAACTAATATGTGAGTGTGGGAGCCAACATTTAGGCGTGACAAACAAAAGGCCCATTTTTTTCCAATGGCTTTATTAAACTATTATATTTATAATTCTGTATGAGAAGGTGAAAGTTCTGAAGGTTTTATTTAATCGTTGTTTAAACACATCCTTAGTGCTGCGTGCTTGAAGCATCTGCTAAAACATTTGCCTGACCTGGTCCTTGTGTTGTTCCTAAGGTTAAAAACCCTTTTCTTGCCATCTCCCACTTTGCAGAGTGCAGTGGCACATCCTTTCACTGATACCATTCAAAATAAACTTGAACTTTACCTCGCCGCCAATTCTGTCTGAAGCTGAAAAAGCACACTTGTAGCTGATGCAAGAGGTGTAAAACCTCCATGGTTTTTGTCGGACTGTGGAGAAGGAATGGGCACTTTGCAAACCCTGGGGCTGAGCTGCTGAGGCTGCCAGGAAGGCAGAAGCTGGGGCGCGGTGGAGGAGGCCGGGTCCGTTGGTTCTCCCCAGGAAAGCAGTGCTTCCTCCCTGTTCTGCAGGCTGTGTCTGTTCACTGCTCGTCTCTTTCCACTCTCTCCAGTCCCTCCTTTAGGATGATGAGAGAGTTCCCTATCATGAAAATAATATATTTTACATTAGGAATGTTCTGACTTAAAGCTTCGAGGTTGTCGTTTCCCTTACTGCCTATGCATTGCTGTCACCACTTTGAAAGATGTTTTCCACAGAGAAGCCAAGACAAGCTGAAGTTATATACATAACAAGCTTTTGGAAGAGGAAATGTTTGAATGTTGAAATGTAGTATATGTAGAAGCAGGTCATTGTGTTTAGAGAAAGAAACCGAAAGTTGCTGCCAGGGGAAACAAACAAAAGAAACCTGTGGGACAGCACTGCGTGTGTGCACTTCTGGTGTGATGTAAGCTGCAGTTGTGTCAACACAATGGAGTATTTAGTTTGGGTCACATCATTTAGAACACATTGTTGTAAAGATGGAGTTAACCTTTCCTGCAGAGCTGCAGTGCTCGGGTTCTGCCCATACTGGGAGCAGGGATTCTCCTGCTCTGTTGCTGCTTGGCTGCAGTGGGACAGCATGGGTGAGCTGCGTGGCTGAGCCTGGTGTGGTACAGCTGGTGTAGCTGCTTTCTGCCTCTTGTGACTCGAGGTTATCTGGCTGTGAAATACTGTTAGGCAGAGAGCTGTGCTCGTGGTTCTCTGCTCCTTAGACTTGTGCTGCTCTACAGCTCTTGCTCCCATCACCATGTCACACAAAGCACCGTCTGTCTGCTCTGGGTGTGTGTAGTGGTTGGTGCAAGGAAGTGCTTGCGGCTTTCACCTGTAAACTGTTTGCATCTCTTGAGCTTTGGCACTTAGTGAAAATGTTAACGTAAGCTTTATGTTCTTGCATCCTGACTCAAGTTGTTTATTTACAACCTGACTGCACTTGGACAGCCTGCACAGTTGGAGCTGATTCTTCATTTCATGAATTTGCAGTTACTGAAACCAAGAGCCAGGAGTGATCCCCATCTGTGTGTTGGCCTGGCAGCAGATCCCAGCAGCACGGCCCTTTGGGCAATGGGCTCTGCATGCTGGTACCATGAGGGTGGTAGTTCTGGAATTGAAGCATTGGATTCTCAGGCGTCGCTGGAGACCCTTCGGTTCAAAAGTTACACAGTTGAAGCAGCCCCTCCTAAAGATGAACTCAACAAGTCTTGCTGTGCATGTGTGTCATCCTTCACTGCTAGGGAGCTCACGTGAGATGGGCAATCAAATACTTGATCAAAAAAAGTCATTCCTTCATTGTAAATTGGAAAAAAGTTCTTTTGGGATTTCAGCTGTAAGTGAATCCTTGAAAATCAGTAATTAGATTAGTAAAGGGTGACGTTCTAATATGCTGGCAGGAGTACTGAGTGATTTGTCAGGGGAAAACAGCCAGACTTCGCACTTGAAGTGGCGTAGGTATATTTATAGTGCTAGTGGTAGTTGTGTGTGCGTGAAGACTTTGGACTGTTTTAATATAGCGTAAGGCTTTGAGCTTTAGCTGACTGAAGTTGCTCGTTTTATGAAGTTACATTAGTACAACACTGTGAAATATTTTTAAATATTAGCGTTGCTGGGTATTAAGAGTGTTTCATAAAAACATTTTTAAAAACATTTTCTATAGATGCTGTCAAAGGAATTGATGTTTAGCAAACAAAGAAGTAACTCCCTGAGGGCGGTGAGGTGCTGGGTGTGTTCCTGATCAGCTCCGTTTCTGGGAGATTCGGTGTTTCTCGAGGATAAATTGTCATTAAAACCTACTAAAAATCCTGGGGCCGCAGGAAGCAGTGCTCCCTCCAGCCGTGCTTTGGAACTGCCTGAAGGGATCTGACATCACACGTGTTGTGTTCACAGAGTGATGTCTTTGGAGGTGCTGTACAGCACAGTGTTTTGCAAGTTGCTATGCTGATAAATTTCTCTCCGTATGTAACCTCTGAAATCAAGTTTCTATTGTAATTCTAGCATGTAAACACTAGATTCAATTTTGTATTCCTTTAATGAATGCAACAGGATGGAAATGAGTTTGCGATTGCTAATGATGAGCTTTCTTACTGTTCTTAATACTCGTGGGTATGTCTTTTCTTCAGGGAGTTCAGAATTGTATTAGTACCTTTTAAATTGTTTTTCCACGTGCTGTTTACAATTAAACTGCAAGCATGGGAGGCTGTGCATGCATGTGCTTTTAGGTTGCTTTGCTGAACAAAATACAGTGGAGCTGCATCCTTTGAAGGATGCTCTCTTGTCTGCACGTTCCACCTCTGTCTGCTCCTTCGCAGTCGTGGGGACAGCAGAAGCCACTGCTCAGATTATCTCAGTGTGTTCTGCAACGTTTGTCTGTCTGAGGGTTGCTCTGAGGGGTCGTGTGGGGAGACAGTCCAGCTCTGTACAGAAGCAGTGCCACAGCCGGTGCTTTTTCCTGAGTGTCAGTGGAAAGGCCAGGAATATACAGAATCACACATAGGAATGCGTGTGTGTTTGTAGAAGCTTTGTGCACCTTTGAATGCTGGAAATCGTTTTGTATTAAAAGATG